TTTAGTAAAAGTCCCAGGTTATTAAGAAAACTTTGAAAAATGTTTTGTAAATGAAGGAGAGAATTAACAGTCTGTATTTGCTTTAAAATACTTAGTACTGCTTCTTCACTCAACTCCTTCACAATGCTCAGTTGAGTAATTTAAGAGCTACTCAAGTCACTGCTATTTTAGAAGGCTAAACATCTTATAATATGAATGACTTCTCTTCTGGCTAACTGGAACTAAAGGCAATTTGTGAAGTGTCTTTGTATTCCAACCCACAGAGCAGCAGACACCGCTAGGGATCTGAGGGTAACATCTCACCCGACCAGTCCGCATGGCCCGTGAGCAGGTACGGAGAGGACCATAGTTCAGCCGTCAGGGCACCATGGAATCAACTGTCAAGCTTTCTGCCATTAATTTACAATCACAGATATGTCCTTTTTCCTGGTATTCTACTCCCACTGGAGACTTTTTACTAAGACCTTGTTCCTGTGAACACACGTGGGACACAACATGTTGTCTTCAAGATGTGGGGGTGGAAAACTGCAGGCAGGAAGCAAGAAGAGTGCACTCACTCTCCCTCCCTGCTTTTCAGGAACCCAGGCCTGTCCAGCATGAAACTGGAGGTGAACCCAACCATCTGTGTCTGCAGGGAGACTTCTCCCATGGACCACACACCACCTGACATCACAGTTCTCCTGGGGAGATTCCACTGTCTCCGTGGATGACCCGGCCCTTGCTGCAGTTCTGGCCCAGGAAGCCAACAAAGCCTCCGGGGCAGAAGTTGTCACCACAACCGTATTAACTCCCTCAAGAAGAGAGGCAGACTCTAGGACAGGCAAGCCCTCCTTGGGGGGAGGACCTACTGCAGGAAGATCAGTCCCCTCACAACACATCCTTTGCTCTGAAATTTTCAGGGACATTTTCTTCTTGTCCACATTTGATTTTCTTTGTAATGATACCCGGATCTTGGCCTCCTTGGCTGTGCAAGGAATATCCTTTTGATTTGGATACACATACTCACACAATCGCCTATATGTGTCCAATTTCTGGCCTTTGCTACTTAGCTTTAATTGCTGGCACCAGGCCCGTACAATGTCCCGGTGAAGCAGATTGACCGGTGGTAGTTTAGACGGTAAGGGAGGAATTGGTATCTTCTTCCGGGGTTTGGGGTTGTCACTGTGTTCTGCTGCCTTCTTTGGG